CGATTTTTTTTTTTTTTTTGTTTTTTAGTATAAAAGTTATAATATATTTTAAAATAATCCATATCTCTTAAGTTTTTCTTAGAAAACTTTATTTGTTTCAACCTCATAGAAAAAAAAGGAAAAAAAAAAGCATATCAGTTCACATGTGGTACATAATTAATTAGATGTAATATTGGAATTTAGAATTAATTAATATTTTTGAAGAAAAATAAAAATATTAGGTATTAAATTACTATCATTAATGTTCATTAAATGTACGTTACAAACGTCATTAGTTTCGTTATCATTGCCTCAATTGCAATAAGCAACATCTCCGACCCAAGCGGAAGTATCAAGATTCATCATATTATTGGAAGAAAAATTGTCATTACCGGCAATATTTTCATATGTATCATTAAAGGTCAAGAATTCACTCACGTCAGACGCGGTATCTGAACTATTATTACTCATTGTGTTGAACATATTTGCGAAATCTTCGCCGGATACATTTCCTGTCATTGATGGTGCAAATGTAACCATGGCAGCGGCTACTTGCTCATCGGATAATAAAGTTGAAGTAGAATCCATGGTAAGATTACTTAAATTATGTGAAGGTAAAGATACAAAAGGATCTTGATTTAAAAGTGGTGATGAATCCATTAAGGTTGGAGAATTGTCAAATACATCAAGAGGAGTAGATGGAGATGAAGAATTTAATTCCATTGGTGAAGAGCAGAATTCCGGAGAACTTTGATTCATTTCGCCTTTGTTAAACATATTAAGGAAATTGGCTGAAGTATTGATTTGTAATGCATCATCTTGTTGAGCTGTTAACAAAGAATTCTTATTATCTTCCGACGGTGATAATGGAGCTGATGCGGATCGACGTGTACAAGCTTGTCTTAAGAGATTCATGTCGGGTTTGTTATCCCCTTTTTGAGAATTTGAATATTGCAAATTATTAGCAATTGAACCACTAACTGGGAAGGATGAACGACGAGGGTGATTATCCTCTTGACCATTGTTAATTATGACATTGTTATTATCTTCAGTCATATCTGGACTTAATGGATCAGCCGGAGCTGGAGTATCAAATATTGTTACAACTTTAGCAAGGTTTGGATCGTCTTGCATAAGTTTAATAAGTTGTGGTTTCATTACAGCGGAACGACCTTTCAATACATGTCTTGTATGTCGAGATGCTTGTCTATCTTCAGTAAAATCTTTACACATATTCCATCCACCATGAGGTGACTCCATATAGAAGGAAGGTGATTCTTTGACTTCAATTGCAATTTGTGAATGAACATCATCAATAGGTCGATATTCAACTGAAAAGATATCAGAAAGTGAAAACTCCATCTTGAATTGAGTATTCTCATTAGTAATATGATAAGTGAATATATTCTGAGGTAAGGTATAATAACATAAAAGATCTGTGGGAGATGACATTGTTAAAATGCGACGCCATGTTCCTATTGTAAGAGTCTCGCATGAAATAACTGAAACTAATGTGTTGTTATTGTTATTAAAAGCTGGTGTGATGAATTCCTGAGGCGGTGTGAACTGTTGAGGTTGAGGTTGAGGTTGAGATACGGATGTTTGATCTAGAATAATAATAATATAATTAATATAAATATATATTATATATATATATATATATATATCTCTCTCATGTGTAAAAATTTCACTTACCATTCATTTTAATTGGTATACCATTATTAGGATTTACTACAAGACGTAAAGCTTGTGCAGTATTCATGGAATTAGAATTAGGACTAGCACTAGGAGAAATTGGGAAACGTTGAGTCTGGGTTTGTTGTTGAGCAGCTACAAGTGGATTAGCCGAAAAAGGAAAACCATTCATTAAATGTTCATTTGTATTTAAAGAAGTAATTGGAGCTGTTAAAGGACCAGAAGGCCAAAATCCTTGAGGAACTTGAGGTACGGTAATGCCAAGTCCAGTAGTATTTGGATTAGGACGCATTCCAAGTGCGACATTATTAAGATTAAGATCATTAGCACTATAAGATCTAGGTAAAGCTATACGTTGATGAATAGGCATACGGAAAGGATACAAATTATGAGGACCATAACCAGGTATACAAGCCATAAAATGATGACCGATCGTATCCTGATTAATCATTAAATGAGCACGTTTTTGCATTGCCTTCATTTTAGCACGACGATTTTGGAACCAAATTTGAATTGAACGTTCGGACATGTTTACTTTTTCGGCTAAGGCTTCACGAACTTTACTATTTGGGGAGGTATTAGTTTTAAATGTATCTTCTAAGATCGCTAGTTGTTCGGGGGTAGCACGAGTTCGCTTCTTGTTATTCGTTGATGGTGGAGGTTGAGAGTTGTTGGTTGTTGGTTGAGAGGAAGATGTGGTTGAAGGTGATTTGACAGAGTTGGACTTGCCAATTTTATTAACGTTAAGTTCAGTGGTCTCCTTGCTGCTTGGCTCAGCCTTGCAGTTAACATTGGGGACGACGTCTGTTGTATTTGCACCAGTGCCCTTGTTATTATTATTATTAGAAGTATTCATTTTAACATCATCAAGAGTAGCCATATTATGAGAAACGTTATTTGAAATCGAGTTCGCTGAACTCGAGGAATCCTGTCTCTTATACACATCTAGATGTGTATAAGAGACAGGTTCAGTGGTCTCCTTGCTGCTTGGCTCAGCCTTGCAGTTAACATTGGGGACGACGTCTGTTGTATTTGCACCAGTGCCCTTGTTATTATTATTATTAGAAGTATTCATTTTAACATCATCAAGAGTAGCCATATTATGAGAAACGTTATTTGAAATCGAGTTCGCTGAACTCGAGGAATCCATGACATTGCCATCTTTATTATCACCAATAGTATGTTGGGAGACATTTTGATGATTTGGCATGATAGATGAAGTATTTGTCACAACCATTGGAAAATCAGCGGATGCTTTACTGAAAGCAAAATATTGTTCTTCATCTTCGTCAAAATAGTTGGAAGAATTGTTGGAACCTAAGAAGGCTCTTTTGGCGGGTCTTTCGTTTAATAAATATTCAGTCATGATTTCGATTTATGTGTGATGATGGGGTTATTTAAAATAGAATACTACTAATTAAAAAGAAGGATTGAAAAAATGTTTTTTTTTTTTTTTTAAAAAAAAAAAGGAATTTTTTTTAAAGAAAACCCTGTTGCAAAATAGCAAGGCTCGACTTTTTATGTTCTTCCTAATGGAGAATGAAGGAAGGATATTTTTGGTATTCCTGTTATTAATGAAATAAATAAATAAATCAAGTATTAAATTAGATACACTATATATGATATATATTTTTTTTTTTTTTTTTTGTGAAAATGTTTTGAGTCAAAAAAGTTTGACGAGGTATTTATAGATTCAAAAATGATGTGTTAATGTACTACAGTCAATATTACGATGGTTAAAAAAAAAAATTTTTTTTTTTTTTAAAGTGCGACGGATAAATGACTAACTGATATATATAAAGGATAGCGAGTTTTAAGGTTATATAAGTGTTACTGTTACAACTTAACCAACCCAATATGCAACCAGCGCACCACTCGGAGCTGTCCTTTATATTGCAGAAACTATAGCATTCACGCCAAATATAAACGACCAAAGAAGTCGATAAAAAAATCAGAGATCTTATTTTGGCCAGCCTTATAGTTTTGTCAAGTTTCAAATGTGAAGTTTTGAACGCTAGACTAAAAGGTGAAACTATTGTTTTTTTCATTAAACAAACACACACACGCACACTCATATACGAATAAATATATACAAAATATGTACGAATTTTTTGTATATATTTATGTACTAGTCAAAGATAAAAAGAAAATTTTGTTTCATACCTTTACAAAAGGTCAACACCTTTAGTTTTTTTTTTTAAAGAACTTCGGGAGAAGATGGGGATAAAAAGAGGAAAAGGTAAAAGGTAAAAGAGATATTAGAAGGTTATTAGGAGGTAAAATGAATATAGATGGTGAAAAGAAATAATCCCGGGTTTATTTTTTATTTTATTATTTTTTGCAAAAAACCAAGACTTGCAAAGTCTAAAGAAAGTCGAGCAACTATTATTAAAGATGCTAATAAGGGTTAAAGACCTATTAAAAAAAAAGAGGAAAAGAAAGGATAAGAAATAGAGAGATTAAAGGAAAGTGTAGGGGCCAGCAAGGGCAATTATTGAAGGAGAAAAAACTCTAGACGTCAACCAAAGTAAGAAGATTGCTGTTCAGGAACGTTGGTTAAAAGCAGGCTCAAAAGGCAGAATTGTTTGGTGAACACGACTCAGGGTGAGGAAACACAACCGAAATAGTTGCTACACAAAACAAGCATGGTACATTTGTATATCAAACGAAAAACGTTCAGCTTCAACCAATGAGAGAAATTTCTCGTTGTATTTAGTTGATCACTAGGTTTTTTAGTTTACCCAACATAGAATTTTGTCCCGAAACGATAATCCCAGATGAAAGAAAAAATATTGACGTCGGAAACCATTTTTGGATATGGTAAATGAATCTAACAAAGGGTATCATTTTGTTTATTATTATATTGTTACAAAAANAAAAAAAAAAAAAAAAAAATATATATATAAAGAAAAAAAAAATAAATAAATATATATTATATATTATATATATAAATATATATATTAATATATATTTTAAAATATATAAATAAATTTTTATTATTTTTTTGAAACAGAGAAGAAAAAAAAAATTCCATTTTTGGAAGGAAATTGAGAAATAAGGTAAACTGGAGAAAAAAAAGATTTTGAGAGAATAAGGAAATTATGAAGAAAAATTCAAATATTGAAATATAAATAGAAACCAAATATCGGAATCAAAAAAAGAAAATTGAATTACGTACCGTACCAAATACGGGTTTAGTGAAAATCTTTTGATTTCTCAAATAAACTAAAAATAACCAATTACAAAGAATTTCAAGTTGGGAGTATTGGTTAATAAAATTGAAACAACAACGTATGATGATTATGAAAAGATATTCGGTAAATTTTTTTGAGTAACTTACTTTTTTAACCATAAATGGAAGAATAAATAAAAATACTTATAATACAATCATACAATCATAATCATGCATCCGTCATTCTTTGGAGATTATCTTCGGAATTTACATTTGATTTTAGAAAAAGCGTAACGCGTTTTATTTTTTCTTTCTTATTTTTACGCGGATCCAAATCCGCTTGGTGATTAAACAGGTGATTAAAAAGAAAGACTTTTTTAAAGTAACAAAACAATACAATACACGTAGAGTTTCGCAAGTTTCGTAAGTTTCGCACAAAATTAAACACAAACAAATTATAAACACACAATAAGAAATTTCGAAAAAGAAAAAATGAAACAGTTTTACCTTCCCGCAGTTAACATTATTCTTTCAAAGTAAACAATGAATGTAATAATTGCTTAAATCATTATATGCATTCGATCATTCGCTTCTTAAATTTGAAAATACCTAATTAATTTTAAGAAAAAGAATTTTTTTAATGAATATTTTCTCTTCCAGCTAAAAAAAAAAAAAAAAAAAAAAAAAAAAAAAAAATTTATTATTTAAAAAAAGTTTCAAACAAATCGATTGGTATCTTAAAAAAGACCATTTAATTATCAAAATTCAAACCAAATACGGTAATAAAGAATATTCGTTAAATAGAAAAAATTTCTCCGGCGGACTTCTTCTACAGAAATAATTGTTTCAAAATTGAGAACCAATCAATGAAAAGGAAACATTTCCATACGAAATCAAATCAAATCGGCGCAGTAATAATAAATATTGTTTCAAATGTTTGTTATATGTTTTTATATATACCGATCATACACATATAATAAAGCCATGTGATCAATAACTAAAATTCCATTATTGGACAATAAATAGTCCGATAATTAAATTTGATTGGTACATTTTTAAGACACATTGTTTGGGTTTGGTATTTCCAACGCATAATTAAACAACACATAACCCTAAGTGTCTGAGGATTTTTAAAAGAGATGACCAACCGAAAACACATTGTGATGATCTATTTGGGTTAAAATTTTCTTAACTTTCTTCCTTATATAGAAAGATAATGCGTGTTATTTTGAGTTATATGCAATGAGAATCACTAATGAAAGGAATTTGATGGATTAACTCCGTGTTAAAATTATGTGTATGAAATTCATCTTTGTAATGTTGCGTCATCCAATTCCATGTAAGTAAATAATAATAATAATTAATAAATTTGATGTACTCTTTTATATACTGTATAAAAAATATATATATATAATATATTACAGTATATATATTATATATATGCATACATTACATGCACACATACATACATACATATATATATATATACAGTATATATATCTATTTTGTACAAATTATTACTCTATTTACGTTTTAAAATATGTAAATATAATATAAACAATTTTTTATATATAGAAAATTTTTTATTAACAATGAAAATTTGTTAAATTTTTTCTTTTTTTTGGTTTTCGGAAAATTATTTAATTGTAACCTCATGTTACGGTGAATTATTTCCTAGTCAGGGGAAAAGGTTTTTTTTTTAATAAATGAGTCATCTGTAAAAAAAAAATGTATTTTATATTTTTAGTTAAGCAATTTTTCTTTAGCAAAGTTTTAGTATTTCCGATAATAAATTTATATGTATGAATCTCCGAAAGTTGAATTCATCAGATCCCTTCTTATTTTATACACTATGTACCTCTGAATATATTATTTTTCCGATTAATAATATTGTGCATGTGTTTTTCTTTTAATTGCTGCGCTTGTTTCTATTAATAAATAAATTGTAGATCAAATCCATGTGGTAAAATTAAAAGAATCAATCATGGGTAAATTTCGGTCCTTACCGTATAATAATACTGCGGTGTACTCATAATCACGTCATCTTTTGATTGTAAAATCAAACCATACGTTCGCTTCCTCGGCTATTCGGTTTGTGTTATATTTTTAGGTAATGACACTTCGCTTATGTCCGCTTACTTTATTTGTTATGTACTATTATTATTAGAGAACGGATTAAAGTTGAATATGTAATAATATTGTGATATTATTTGTCTAAATGTCGATCGCTTATCTTGTTGATAGTCTGTTGATTTTTAGTTTGAAACAACTTACTGAACACACATGCGCACTCTCAGAGAAAATCCTCGATTTTCCGGAACGGAGAAGATCCATCAAACTTCTTTATAGTATTTTAATACGGGTCATTTATTATCAGTCGATACCGCATATCACAAATTTGGCAGCTATGATATCTTGGCATAAATTATTTACACTGCATAATTTAAATTCCTAACGCTAGTTCAAATTTGTTATTTCTTTAATGTTCACATCTGCAGTTGGTCTTCAGATTTAATTATGTTTTTTTGTAATTATAATTAATAAACAGCGTCACGTGTGCATTAAAAAAAAAGATACGTTAACTTCTCATACTTTTTTCAGAAACCCGGAAAATAGTAATAATTTTAACTAAAGAAGGTAATTGTAGCGATTTAGGATAACACAATCGGTATGATTCACTTTATCAGGTGATAATCAATAAATCTACAATTTCATTACAGATTACGTTGCTAATATGGTTCGATTAAAGAATCGTTGGCTCCTATTCGAAGTCATATTTGAAGATACTTTTCACGTTTCCTCTTCTTCCTCATCTTCTCCTCCTTCACAAAAACTAGAAGCTTTATCTACTCGTGATGTTTATTCTGCTATAAAAAATTCAGTACAAATAAATTTTGGCGATTATGGTGTTGGATGTATTGCAGCTTCCATTAGTGGTATTCGAATTTTTTTTTTTGGTAACTTTAGCAATATACTGAATTTAATAAATTTTATTCGTCATAATTTCTAGTAAAATATTTTTCTCCATTCACAAATATTGGTGTACTTAGAATATCAAGAGATCATTATCATATCGTTTGGGGTGCAATGACTTTTATTACACAAATAAAGACGAGAAAGTGTCTTATACGTGTGTTACATTTAGGAGGTATTATTGAGATCTGTAAAGGCATTTTTTTTTATGAAAAAAAAACAAAATAAATAAATAATTAATTAATTAAATTAATTTTTAAAATAGGAACAATAAAACAATGCCAATTATCTGCCATTAATTATGATAGAGATCAAATATTGTTGCTAAGAAGACAGGCTGAATTACGTGGTAAAAATACATAATATTTTTTATATTATTATTATGATTTGATATTGATCTAAATAATTTTAATTTTAGGTGATACTGAGATTGTTGACATCAATGAATTATTTGAACAGTCTAAAAATCAAATTATGGCTATAGAATAATAATGAAAATTTTTTGATTTTTTTTTTCTTAAAAATAATGTGATATTGGCTTAATTTGTTTGTGATTTAGATAGTGCAAGAGTTGACAAGATTTGCAAAGATAAAATGAATTAATGGCTTGTTAAATGTCAGATATTACCTGGTAAATATTGCAATTAAACTATAGCTTCTCAAATATTTTAATATTAATTAGCAAAAATTATTAAGATATAGTATTTTATTAACCAGTAATACCATTCCAATTCAAATATTCACCCTAACTTTTAGAAAAATGAAAGAAAAAAATACATATAATTTAGGCCAGAATTATAAATTTTGGTCAGAATTATAAATAAAAATTACAAATCACATGACATTTATTGTAACTTATAATTCTGGCTAAAATTATAATAATTTTGATTATAATTTGTATAATTCCCATAATTTTTAAAAATAAAATAAAATAATTTTAATTATATTTTATTTCTTTTTTTTTTAAATTGTTTGAAGTAATTCTAAATAGAAGTAATAATATATTTAATATAATATCAAATATAGATATTTTTATGAAAATCTAATTGGTAGTTTAATTAAAGGCAATGTAATCAAAAAGATACGAAAGAGAGATCATATTGAATAAAAAATTTACTTAAAGAACTGCCAACTTACAACACTCAAAATATGAATTGAAATTTGTAAAAGATGAATTAAGGACTTTTGTTAAAATAAATAATATTTAGCTTTAAAAAAAAATATAATGAATTTTCTGAAAATCTGGATATGTAGTACATTAATATTTCATTTAAAATATTTAAAAAAATAGATTTTCTCTCTTTTTTTGTTTATTAAAATAATTTCAAATGGTCAATCCTGTTTTTCAAAAAATAATTTAAAATAAAAATTGATTATATTTCATTATTTCAGAAAAATAGTTCATTGATAATGAAAGAAATGAAAAAGAAACCTGAAAACATCTTTGGCTATATGAAGATAACGAATCAACAATTGAATAATTGATAAATTGCATAAGAAATAAGAATCAATATACAGATTTGAAAAACAATTAAAAGATAATGATTTACATGATGAAGTCAAAATTTTACAAAATTATAATTTTGATTTCATAAGCACCTTTTAATAGTTCTAAGAGAAAGAAATATGAGAAACAATAAGAGGAGTGTATAACGAAAATTTTAACAAAAAAAAAAAAAGCAGTAATTAAAAATTATGGAATTTCATTTATAAAGAATTTAAAATAAGAATATAGATACCTTGTTGGGTTTTGGACTTGTCTAATTGGTTTTTTTAATTAGACAATTTTGGACTGTCCAAAACCAGTTTTGGACATAGTTTTGGACATAGTTTTGGACAGTTTAAAACTGCTCAAGAGTCCTAATATTTATTAACTGAAACTAAAAATAAAATGAAAATATAATGTTAAAATGTTAAAAAAGTAAATATTTAATATAATTAAATAATAAAAATTAATGTAAAATTAAAATAATATTAAAAATTAACATTTAAAGATTTTTGAAGTAATTTAATAATTGAACTAAAATTAAAATTAGCCAAAATTAGTCATAATTCTGGCCAAAATTAAATTTTTTGTCATGTGATCTGTCCAAAACCTGTCCAATGAAAAAAAGGTTTTGGTTTTGGACAAGTTTTGGACAGGTTTTGGACAAATGTCCAAAACGTCCAATTGTCCAATTGCCCAACACTGCGGCTAGATGTGATAAAATCACGAGAATTAAATATAAAGAAAATATACAAAAAATGGATTATCAATTTTTATTGTCACTATATTTTTTTAATACTGATTGTCATAATTTCAGTTACCAATAATTATTATCTAGTAATAGAAAAATTCTTTTTATATAACAATTACTGCATATGTAACAAAATCAAAAAACAATTTTTTTTTATTATAATTAATATAATAAAATTTTAGTTGCAGCATTTTTTTTAAATATATAATACATTTGCAAAGTTTTTTTTATTTTATTTTAAAGTTTATTAATTGTGGTATAATAAGCTCTATACAAAATAAATGTACAACATCATAAAATATAGAAATAGATCACCCACTCTGCAGTGTAATGAGAGTGCATTAATAAACTTGATATAAATATATCTTCATATCAAAGAAAATAGACATGAGAAAAAAAAACAAAAAGAGCCCCATGTATGTACAAAAATAACAACAAAAATACAGATGTGAAGAATAAAAAAACAGTCAGTAATGCAAAGTTTTTTTTTAAAAAATAAGGTCTTTAATTTTATTAATGATTTTTAAATTTATAATTCTAGTAATTTATTTATCTATTTATTTATTTCTCACTAATAATCAAGTTACTAAACTTTCCCTTCCTTTACTTTTGTAAATTTTACATATATTAATTAGTACATACAGTTATATATCATTATATATAGTTAATGATAAATTTTCAGAGTTTATATATATCGTTCTATTAAATCATATCAAATTGTATAATATATCAATTATTAGTAATTAGTAATTATTTTAATGGGTAATTAGAAGAATTATTAAATGTTTTAATACAATAATTGATAATAAAATTGTTTATTATTTAGAATAAATCCTTTGTTAGCTTATGTAATATAAAATAATATAAGTATACATTGTTATTATAATTTTCATAATTGATTGGTATCTGATTGACAATAATTTGACCTGCTGATAACTGATTAATGACTGATAATTAATAATATCTAATTGGCAGATGGCTGATTATTTACTGATTGTTAAACTGCAATTAGTCATATTATACTTCTCAGTAGAATTAAAAAGTCAATGTCAAAATATTATGGCATAGCCAAAAACAATTACGTCAGTACAAATGTTTACTAATAAAACATATAATTATGGTGAATTACGGCATTTTAATTATGTCTATCATACATAATTCAAAAATTCAATTTCGCTGATAAGTATAAGTTATATAACTGATATATAGCACTAGTCAAAATTGATACTATCGGGTACATATTGAGTACCTATATATCAGGGACTAATCAGATACATATCGGACATTTATTACATATCGGGTACCTGATATGTAACATATCAAATATGCCTAAAAATCAGATTCCCGATATCTAAATGATTAGTCACTGATATGTAACACTGAATTAATCTTACACATATCAGGTACTGATATGCAAAATATTTATTTATTGTATTTGTATTATATAATCCAAAGAGGTATATTAAAATTATTACTAAAAAAAGTATTTTAATATTAAATATACATATTGGCTGATTTGTCTACTCTGCATTAAAAAGAGTTATTGAATTGATTTTCATAATTTTCATTACTCAAAATTGTTTTGTAATACCAAAAAATCATCTGATTGATGATCACTTGACTAAATAATAAGTTGAACAAAAATTTACATTTGCGAAACTTAAATTATTAAAATAAAAAACCCATTTCTCATATATATGGAATTTTTAACATATATTATTAAAAAGTAAGTATATTTTAATAAAATATAAAGTAAAATAAAAATTTATATAGCCTTAATAGCTATAAATGTTTATAAAAGTATAATAAAAATATCATATAAAAGATGGTATCATAATAGATATTCAATAAAAATAATTATTTTATGTCAGAGTTTGTATTACCATCTTTAAACGCAAATATATCAAGATTCACTGATTTGTTTTCTATAATTTTAGGCTCGTTGGAAAGCCCTTGTTCTGGATTTTATAGGCGAAAAAAGAGCTCACCGATTGAATCATTAGATCCAGAGATATTTACATTTAAAGTTGAGGTACAAACTTTTTAACATACTTAAATGCAAATATCTTAGGATCTACTGATCCATTTTTTATAAATTTAGGCTCATCGGAAAGCCCTTGATCTGGTCTATATGAACAAAAAAAGAGCTTGCTGATTGGATCACTGGATCTGGAGATATTTACGTTTTAAGTTAAGATACCAATTTTTAACATATATAGTAAGTGCTAAGAATTATATTAATTTAAAAGAAATATTTACCAAATTATAGTATAATAACATTAAATAAAAATTTTTTAATACTCATTTCCAATTTACTGTATATTATATAGTATTTTGTACAATAAAAATGTAATAAAATTAATATTTTAATTAAAGGTATGGTATGCGTCACCTATAAACCACAAAAATATCATGTGACTTTAAAATTTTATACATTAAGAATTAAGCAGTAAAATACAAATTTAAACTGATAAATTAATAGAATAGCATATGCTAAACATTTCTATCAGTTTACTTTTTAAGAATTAATATAAAAATTTAATTTTATTAAGTCTGAAAGTTTGAGAATAAATCATATAATCTATATGGAAAAATGGAAAATTTCGGACTGGTGATCAGGATAAGTGTTACGTGAATTTCATATAAAAATGGCATTTTTTTGATTAATTTTCTCACGCAACAACAATGACTCGTCTATCTAAAAGAAAAACTAGAGGAAAAGAGCAGATATGAGACAATAACGGGAAGTTTACAAAATGACCAAAGCTATCTGATGGATGTGATGAATTAGGTGATGAATGGGGTAATGAAAATAACAGTGGATGGGATGAAGAGTTTAGTTTATTAAACAAAAAAGAAGCTTTTGAAGATAAATCTTTTGAGTTAACCTGGTCAGATAACACCCACTTGGAAAAAAAAACATGGACCATATCTTACTGGAAAAATAAAAAAATCAACATATTTTGATAGGACCCCGGACATCACATATATAACTCACATTTGAGTTTTAGCAAATTCAATCAAAATTAGGTTAAACTCATAATTTTAGATAGAGCAAATTGATTGAAAATTAATTAATAGTCATAATTAT